AAGGAAGGGAGCAATCCACAGGTATTTCACAGAACCAACCCAACAGCTCAACCATCGAATCTTACAAGGGAAAAAAAAATTAAGGAAGTTCAGAGATCTAGGTAGCAGGAAACATATAGATGTTAATGTCCAGACATCCATCCCCTTCAAATGAAGCATCTTTAACTATTTTTAGCCCTTTCGTGTGTCCTCTCTAGATTCAAATTCCCTGGATCAATCATCACTGACCTGTCATGGGTCATGACACCATCTTTTGCCCAAGGAATGATGCAACAGCTTGATTGATGGTCCCACCAAGACTATGCCCAATTAGGGGCACAGTCCCCTTTCCTTGTTGAGAGGTGGTTACATGAATAGCAGGGCTATTACTGCAGGAAAAAGGAAGAATGGATCCTCGGAAGATAAAAACCACAGAGGCCCAGGTTGGCAATGTTTTCAAAATTTTTAACCATGACCCATGTTGAGAAATATATTTCACCAGAATGTGAATATATTCACACACAATTGAAATGAAATTTTCATATAACAGTGTGTCCCCTTACAATGTGTAGCACACTCAATGTGTAGAAATGGATGTCACAACTCCCTCATGGGTCACAACCTGCAGATTGGAAGCACCACCCTTACCATGATTTCCTTCCTCTCTCCATCCATGAAGACTCCAGAAGGGAAGTGAGACAGGGAAGGGAGGAAAGCCAGCAAAGGGTTCACGATGAGAGTGCTGTCACTGTGGCATCTGTCCCACAGGAGACCCTCTGAGAAACTGCAGAACATGCCTCAGGGCTGCCCCACCAAAAGGCAGGGAAGCTGGAGGGTTCATCTACCCACTGACATTCCTCCATGTGAAGGCAGCACCCAAACCATTAATTTCCCAATACTTCCAGCCTGCCACCAGGTGAGGGCCGAGCTCCCATGGCCAGAGAACCCCCCCAAGCAGAGAGATGCAGGAAGCTTTGGGCTGTATGGAAATTATCTTTAGATGACCTCTGGGTGGGTCAAGAGTATACAGGTTGAAGTCCTCCTGCAAGATGTAACTGGGAGGAAGAAGGACTAACTCAGAAAGCCATTGTCAGTCATAAACACCTGCCTCCCTTCCCAGGCCACACCACACGGTCAGGCACATCCTGACCCAACCCCCTTATTTCTAAATTCACCAAGTGTGTCCTGGGCTGGCTGCCTGCTTCCTGCTTCAGCATTGCTGAAGGAGGACAGGAAGTCTGCCCAGCTGGTTCACCGGTCCTACCTGGCCCCTCGGATTCTCAGCCAACGTCCCAGAGAATGTCTCGTTTCAGCCTACCATCTCTGCCACAGCATTTCAGTAAATATCCACCCTTGCCCTCCCCTTAGTTCCAGAAAAGAATATGGCCCTACTCCTGTCAAGGTGCCAATGAAAACAAATATCCAGGACTCAGGGAGGGATCCAGCGCACAAACCTTGATTAATCACCTGCTGTTTGTCAGATTAAAAGACAGAAGATAAACTGACTTTGGGAGTCAGGTCCAATGGGATGGGAACAGAAGTAGCACTAGGCACAGGGCGCAAACTCTTAATCAGCAATGCCTGAGGGCAGTGGGTCTTAACTCGTGTTGCAACAGTCACCTGAGGAGCTTTTAAAGAGTACTGATTCCCACCGGGAGATGGGGTGGATCTGAAGCATCCAAATATTTTTTAAATTCCCCAGATTCTAACACACAGGAAGTATAAGATGGGACAAGAAGGAAGAAATAACATTTCTTGTGGTGGCTTCCTTTTTGAGGTAACCTTCACATCTCATCTAATTCTCTCAATAATGCCACAGTAGCCACCCCCCCTTACCTGCGAGGGATACGTCCTGAGACCCCCAGCAGGTGCCTGAAACCAGTTAGTACCAAACTCTATATATACTATGTTTTTCTCTATATATACATAGCAATGATAAAGGTTAATTTATAAATTAGGCACAGTAGGGGCACCTCGGTGACTCAGTCGGTTAAGCGTCAGACTCTTGATTTCAGCTCAGGTCATGATCTCAGGGTCATGAGATTGAGCCCTGCATTGGGCTCAGCAGGGAGTCTGCTTTGAGATTCTCTCTCTCCCTCTCCCTCTCCCGCTCCCTGTGTGCTCGTGCTCTCTCTCTCTTTCAAATAAATAAATCTTTAAAAAAATAGAAAATAAATTAGTCACAGTAAGAGATTATAATATAATAGAATGGCTATGACAATACACTGTAGTAAAAGTTATGTGAATGTGTTCTCTCTCTCAAAATATCTTATTGTCTGTACCCACCTTTCTTGTGATGATGTCAGATGATAAAATGCCTGTGATGAGATGAAGAGAGGGCATGACACAGACATTTTGACCCAGTGGTAGACTATTTTTGACTTTCTGTTAATTCATCAGGAGGATCACCTGCTTCCAAACCACCGTTGGCTGCAGGTAACTGAAAGTGCAGAAAACAAAACCAAGGATGAGAGGAAACTACTCTTTATGTTATGTATGACTGTACCCATCTCACAGGTGAGAAAACTGAGGCTGAGGGAAATCAAGTAACTCACCCAAGTCCCCAGTGTTATGAGCAAAAGCTCATGATAGAGCACCATCCAAGACTGAGTCCAAAGGCCATGACTCCTTTTACCTCACTATGCTATCCCGCCAGTAAAATTTTAATAAGATTAATGGTAAAAGGAAGGGAGAAGGAAAACATTTGAGATCAAGAGTGTCACTGGATAAATCAAGACCAGCCAAGGTAGGCAGGCGTGTGGGAAGGGCTCTGGGGTGCAGCGAGAAACCTGGGTACCTGAAGCTATTCATAGCACCAGGAAAAATGAGGCAAAGCCACCAAAGCCGGGGCGGGGGGGCGGTTGTTGAGTGCCAGCTAAGCCTCCCCTGTCCCAATGTCCCCTGCGCCTGGCTCTGCTCTCAAGAAGGTACTGTGTCCAAAGTCAGCTCACTGGGCCATTTTCTCATCAGATCGGACTGTGACTTGGAACGTCACAGCCGGCCAGCCCGGGGTTAATCTCCCTCTTCTCCCTGGCCTCCAGGCCAACTATGTTCAGCTGCGAGAATAAACCAACATCACAGCAGACAGCTTTTCCTCATTTCTGTCACGGATTTCTCTATTCTCTGTGGCTGCCTGGCTTTCCAGGCTCAGAGGCCCATCTGGTTGAAGGGATGTCCTGCTATTTACAGCCTCCTCTGGGACTGCTCAAAGACAGGAGAAACCCTATCCACTTCTACTCCTCTGTGTCTGCTCCAGGAAACTGAATTGTATTTAAGCATCACATTTTCGGAAGGAAAGGGAACTTCAGTCTGTTCTTTCTTGATGGTATGTTTCAGCAACAAGATGCCCAATAAATGAAGGCAATCCTCAAAAGGAAAACTTCAAAACCAAGATCTCCCTAGCACGCTGCGCTTTTCAAAGAAAATCCTGGAAAATTGCAGAGCTGGAAGGGACCTACAGATCATCTCGCAGAAGGGGAAGCTGAAGGCCCACACGGGAGAGTCCCTTGCCCGATATCATGGCCTGAGGTGATAGCAGACCAGGGACTGGGACCCGGGGCTTTGGCCTCTTGTCCCCAAATGGCATTTTACTGGCAGTAACAGAAGACACACAGAAAAGCAGCACACAGAAGGTGGTCTCCCTCGGGCCCACCATGATCCATGCTGAGAAATATAATTCACCAACATACGCGCATATACACTCAGGACTGAAATGTGTGTATAGGAAGTAGAGCGGGTGCCAAGGAAAATACTGGATGAAAAACATGCAGGCTCAGCCCCAACTGTGAAGAAAACAAAGTGATCTTCACTATTTACCAACCCATCCCTCCCAAGTCGACTAAGCGGAGGGCCACCATACGACACCACTCCAGGGGGCATAACTCATGTCATACTGTTAATCTGTATTTTCCAAAGGCGGAAGAGTAAGAGCTGAAATAATCAGCTATTATTTTTCTTGCTCTGCATTAACAGCAGGAACCAAGGCATTAATTGATAACTACAGGATTCATTAAAAACAAATAGTAACTTAAGAACAACCCCGGGAGACTTGGCTTTAAAGATTCCAGAGAATGAATCTATAAAAGCCAGTTAATCATAAAGATGTCTGAAGGAGAGGACACTCAGAAGGAGCCGACTTAAGCCCGCACCCACGGTGCCTCTGGTCGGCATTGTTCTCAGTGCTTTGTGTATGGAAAGTCTCACAACAACCCTACGACATAGGTACTGTTACAATCTCCCATTTCACAGATGGGGAAACTGAGACGTACAGCGATCAATTTGCCAGTCACATAGCCAGGAAGCTGTGATTCAAAGGCCCCCTGATACTGTGTGCTTGACTGTTTACGTCGCCCCTTTGTAGGGGCCAGCTTATCAATGTGACCTGCTATGGAGAGCTGGGAGCAATTGCCTCCTGCCCTATCTCTCTCCAGTTACTGCCGGTGCCAAGCATGAAGTTTGGGGGGTGGGGACAGTGAGGAAGCCATCCTGCTCCCTGTTCCAGGGAGGATCCTGTCAGCACTCTGCTCCAGGAAATCTGGGAAGGAATGATGATGTCCTCAGGGAGGCACAGGCCTGGACAGGAGTCCCAGCACCCGCAAATATCCACATGAGAGCCGCTGGGACTCCTCCCTTACCCCCAAGCCCAATCTTCTTCAGGGTAAAGAATCAAAGAAGGGAGAAAATGCTTTAGCCCCTCCCCTGGAGGCCAACAGAAAGGATTCAGAGTAACTTGAGACTCATCCAGCCCTCCTGAAGTCAAGAGAGAGGAGATACTTTTTAATTCTTTCCTCTCTGCTACCTTGAGCAATTTCCTCAATGCTTCAGAAACTCTGTTTCTTCATCTCTCCACTAGAGTTCCTGCCTGCCACACATACGTTAATGTACTTGAGTTGACCAGTTCACACAGTGCTTACCACCCGCTAAAAGACCAAGCGAACCAATACGTGATGGTTTGCTTCTGCCCCTTTGGGATAAAAAGGACACAGTTAAATTCCTACCCCATGCTCGTTATTTTTCCTTACCGACAGTCCCCTGTTTTCATTGAAGGCTTCAATATGCCCAAATAAAAGGATCGCCTTCCCAGGTTCCTTTGTGAGTAGAGGTGGCCTTCAGTTCTGGCAAATGAGATGTAAGAAGACTATTTGGCGGGAGGTGGCTTCCAGGACCTTAGTTACTCTGGAAAACAGGGGGAACAAGCTCAGCTAGCATTTCCCTTTGCCCTTCCCTCTTCTTCCTTCTGAAGGTGAAGCGGCCAAGTTTCCACCATCAGGACAAAAACCACGGGCTGATCACAGAAACAGAGAAGGAGCCTGGGTCCTCAATAACATCCCAATGCTTGACTCCCTGCCTCTTGGTCTGTCACGTTAGAAAAATAAACCCCTTTCAGGTTTTCCATTATTTGTAGCTAAACACATTCCTAACTGATACTTACCAATTCCAGTCTAATATAGTGAAATAAACAAAATATAGAGAGAGCTACAAGCACGTTTGCTCAAGGTCATATCATGAATTGATTGATGGTGAATCCAGGCCTGACGAGTATGTGGAGTCTTAAATTCCCACCCCAAATACTCTCCTAATAGACTCCATGCCCATGAAAATCCTATTTATGTCAAGAATAGGAATGAGCAGTTATAAAATATTTATATGGAAGCCAGTTGTGCCCATCTCTAAGAACCTCCCATCTAGAAATTTAAGTAGCCAAACTTATTTTTGAAAACCATGAATTTCATTTAATCTGTGCAAGTAGCCTTTTCAGTCTTGGGGCAAATCACACATGAAGCTCAGAGGAGAAGCTGACCATCTACAGAGCCCAGCTTCGCCCCTCAGTAAACACAAGGAAGCACCTTTGCACACCACACCGTGAACTCTACCAAAAAGAGCTGTCTGCCTAAAATCTATCCTAGAGAAGATACTGAATTTGCAAAAAGCAATGCTTTTGAACCACTAATAAATGTTTTATAACCCGATCACTTAGGAAGTCAGGATTGAAAAGCACTCAAATATAATCTTCGCACAGCAAAATTGAGCTTAAGGATATCATCCGCCCTGGATTGTTATAATTTAATGAAAACTATTTGCTAGCCTTGAAAAACTCAATTAATAAAATCATATTCAAACACTCTTGTTGAGAATTTACATCTGCAGTAAAGCTGAAGGGTGTGAGCTTGGTCAGGAGCTCTGCAACTTTTAGATCCCTGGAAGAGGAAAGCTTTTTCCTTTCCTTGGGAAAAGTATGTCCTTAGAACTGTCCAGATGGATGTAGGTAGTTGGTGCTTAGAGCTAATTCTGCTGCCAAGCATAGCCACCAAGCAGGATGGCTTCACAGTGATCCGCTCCCCCACTTCAGTGGCCTTGGCTGTGCTCATGTCCCTGTTTCCCAGGACAGATCCAGGTTGTCCAGCATAAAAACATGCCACCCAAACTGTGCCAGATTCTCTCTCATGGGAAGTCAAGACGTAGACAGTAAGTCATAGTGATGGGGCTGGCAGCAAATGAGAAAGTGAGCCCACCGAATGCTGCCCCTGAGGTCCCAGGGGTTTGTCTAGTTCTTATCCTTCCTGGGATGGTCTGATTCTGTGAACTCTCCCAGTGCTTTCCTAAGAAATACTTCATTTTAGGGGCGCCTGGGTGGCTCAGCTCAGTTGAGAGTCTGCCTTCAGCTCACGTCATGATCCCAAGGTCCTGGGATCGAGCCCCATGTCGGGCTCCTCTCTCAGCAGGAAAACTGCTTCTCCCTCTCCCTCTGTCTGCTGCTCCCCTTGCTTGTGCTCTCTCTCTCTCTCAGTCAAATAAATAAATAAATAAATCTTTAAAAGAAGTACTTTATTTCAGGGGTGCCTGGCTGGCTCCATCAGTGGAGCACGGGACTCTTGGTCTCAGGGTCATAAGTTTGAGCCCCACCATGGGTATGCAGCCTACTTAAAAAATAAATAAAATAAAAAATTTTTTAAAAAGAAAGAAATACTTCATTTTAAACTTGAGCTAGATGGAATCAGTTTCTGTTGCTTAAGGAAAAAGTGTCTTAGTGAATACACCTGACACTCTTGTGCACTTATTTATTTGTAGGGTCACAGAGTCAGAAAGACCAGCTCCTTCCCACATCCAAACAGAAATAAGCCGTCTTAGTCTTGGGCAAATAGGAGGTGAGAGAGAGTCTCTACCTTAGTGTCTCCAGGCCTCTCGGGAAAGTAGTTCGGACATCTGCCCTCCTACTGTAACAGCGGAACCCCTCTTTCCCAGGTCCTTTCTCCTACCTGTTGGGGTACCAGCAGTGTGGCAAGTGGTTCAGGGTGGGGGCTTTGTAGCTGGACCCATTGAATTGGGACCCTGACCCTGCTGCTTCTAGCAGTGTGACCTAGACTAGTGTTTGACCTCTCCCTCAGTTTCCCCATCTAGAAAGAGGGGAGGTAACCACAGCACTTACCTCAGGGGGTTCTTGTGAGGATTGAGTTAACCCAGATGAAGTGCTCAGAATAACACCCCATCCTTAACTTCTCCAAATTTCTCCTCCTGTATTCCAGGCACCCTAGTCTACTTTCCAGAAATGCAGGCTCTTTCCCGCCTAGAAGTCTTAGGGGGGGCTTTGCACATACTGTTTTTTCCACCCACAAATCCCACTTCACCCAGATCTCTTCCCAGACCTGTTCCCCATAGCCACCTAGACATATATTGCAAAAATGGCCCCAGTTCTCCACCCCTCCCTGTATCTACACTCACTGAACCCTTCCCATCAGGAGATATTCCCTGTCCATTGATCCTAGGCTTGCTTTGGCCAACAGAATTCAGTAGAAGTGAGCTTGTACCAGTTTTGAGCCCAGGGCCTCAAGAGACCTTGCATGTTCCCAAGCTCCCTCTCAGACCCCTGCCCAGCCACAAGGCCAGGCTAGCTGGCTGATTGATGAGACACACAGGCACCAGCCTCCACCCTTACCCCAGCCTACAACCAACCAGCCCCTGAAGCAGAGCTGCCTCGCTGACCAGCCTCTGACCATAGAGGCATGATGCTCTCCCTGGACCGGCTGAGACTAGAAGACCTGCCCAAGGGAACTCAGCCCAAATTGTCAACTCACTTCATTAAAAACTAAATGAGGGATTGCTGTCTCAAGCCCTAAATTGGGAGGTGGTTTGCTACATTGTAAATGCTAACTGATACACACCCTCTCTAAGCCTCTGCTTCCTCAATGATATAATGGAAATAAGGAATAATAAAACCTACGTCCTAAAATAAGCATGAAGATTACGTGAGATAATGCTTGTAAAGTGCCTATGTTACATTAAGTATTACCCAACCGTTAACCACCACAGACATGGGAATGATGATACTGGATTCTTTGCCTCTTGTCTGTAAATGGGGAAATAACGGTATCTAATGAATAGGGTTGCTGTGAGGAATGGAGAAAATATGTGGCATGTGCTCAGCACCACTGCAGACACAGATCAGCAATAAATGGTTATTATTGACTTGTTAAATGTTATTGCCAACGATTGGCTTCTTCATTCTCTTCCCTGGCCCTTGGACACAATCCACCACCACCAACTACCGTACCCCTAGCCTTCAGTTTTCTCTCCTTGGTGTTTAGACTGGCCTCCCAGCCTCCAGCCTCACTCTGAGGCACCCCCAGCCCGCACTGCCCCCATCGCGGAAGGAGGCATCAGAACCCAGGGCAGGAAGCAGGTCAGAGTCCCTGAGACCCCTTGAACTTCAGCCCCATGTGGACCTTTGCCACTAGGGGGCAGCCTCACCCTCCAGCCACACAAAAAGCTGGGGTCATCCCGTGGGTGCTGGCCGGTTTTCTGAACCCGCTGCCCACCTTGTTTCAGGGCTCCTGCGGGGCCCGCTGTGATCATGCACCTGCCCGCAGACAATCCCTGCCGACTGGGGAGCCACCCCACCCCCAGGCAGCCTGCGGAGACACTGGTGGCGATCCTTCCCCAGCTCTAGGCAACCTCTCAACCTACGTGAGTGGTTTCATAATTTATGTCTACCCATCAGCGGACAGATTTAGCCTGCTGCCTGCTGAGTCTGGAAATACTGAATATTAAAATATCCCAGCTCGCCCTTCTGACGCCCTCGCCTCTCTTAGATTCACATGCAGTTGGTTGCACAAACAATTCCAGAGACACACATCAACTTGTCAATTAAGTAGATTTTGAGTACACTCGTATGTGTAACTTTCATGGAAACAGGGGGTAGGAGTATTCAGGGCCACGGATTTAGGTGCCTGACCTTGGAGAAATCCTAGTCCTCTGGCTTCAGACCCAGTATATTTTCTCCTGCCCCACATTGCTGTCCAAACTCCCCGGCCCTTTTTGTAGCACTGTGCAATGAAGGGATGCAGGAATCCTACTCAAAGGATTTTACTGAGCAAAGTAAAGCAAAAGACTTCTCCAATCCACCCAGGACAGCAACAGAGAGGCTCCCAGGAATTAAAACCGACCATTATTTGAGGATGGAGGAAGCAGAGAGAATCTTTCATATTTGATAAAGACAGGGGTGTGTGTGTGTGTCTGTGTGTGTGTGCATGTGCGTGTGTGTGTGTGTGTGTGTGAGAGAGAGAGAGAGAGAGAGAGAGAGAGAGAGAGATACCCTCTGACAAAACTCTAGCGGACTTCCCTCACGCACATCAAAGACTGCCAAGCATTTCGCACCTTTAATGTTGAGTTTTTAGAACTTCTACTAATGGGGCACCTGGGTGGCTCAATTGGTTAAGCGTCTGCCTTCAGCTCAGGTCATGATCCCAGGGTCCTGGGATCAAGTCCCACGTCAAGCTCCCTGCTCGATGGGGAGCCTGCTTCTCCCTCTGTCTGCCGCTCCCCCTGCTTGCGCTCTCTCTCTCTGACAAATACATAAAATCTTTAAAAAAAAAAAAAACAACTTTCTACTAAAAGAATTTCTAGGCTAATACACACATTCCTTTGCTATAATATCTAGTGACGACTGACTGCAAAAATGGGTTTAGGATTTCAGGGGACTGGGATGGGAATTCCCCACAGACTGAAAATAGAGGAAGGGGTGGGGCACCTGGGTGGCTCAGTCAATTAAGCATCAGACTCTTGGTTTTGGCTCAAGTCATGACCTCAGGGTTCTGAGATCGAGCCTGGCACTGGGCTCCGTGCTGGGTGTGGAGCCTGCTTGGGATTCTCTCTCTCCC